TCTAAGTGGCAACTTCCCAAATGTACATTTTCCCAAATGACAATTACCCAAGTGACAACTTCCCATGAAGGAAAAACGGCATTTTCTCCATGAAGGAAGTATTAAATGAACATTTAAGTTTTACATCTTTAAAGAATTTGTCAACTTTTTTTAGGAAATACGCAACTTAAAAAAAAATTCATTCAGTTTCTCTCAGTTAGTAAGGCAAGAACATGTTGGTGGCCTTCACACTTTCTTCAAAGAATAAAATGTATTAAACGATCCTTTGTGGCGGATATGAATGTCGTCATCTGAGTTGTTTCCAGAGAAATCCAAGGGGGCGGATTCGATCAGCTGATTCTAACTTGTGATATTTATTCCAGATATTTCTATCATCATTTACTATATAGATTTAGATTTTTAATAAAGTTAATCGTTCAGAACTCTTTTTCCTGTTCAGTAGTAGCACGCCAAACCTTATTATTATTTACGGTTAGGGTAAGCCCTCTGAGGCCAGGATGGGCTAGGGAACCGAGAGCTGCAGCTATTACAAAGAAAATAAAGTACATTATTTAAGGTTAGTTTAAGCGTCTGAGGGGCCGCGGGCTACAATAGAGGCCGAGCTCTGCGTCTAGGATGGGCTAGGAAGCCTAGCGCTGCGGCTAGGATGGGAGAGGGGGCCGAGCACTGCGGCTATTCCTTGTTTTAAAGAAAATATAGTAAATTGTTACTTGGGAAAATGTACATTTAGGAAATTGCCGCTTTTTCTTCATTGGGAAGTTGTCACTAGGGAAGTTGTCATTAGAGAAATTGCACATTTGGGTAGTTGCCACTTGGAAAAATACCCTTGGGAAGTTGCCACTTGGGAAAGGGCCTTTGGGAAAGTACCTAACATCGATATATTGACCCCAACTGTAATTAACAAAATGAATGGACCCCAACTGAACTAATTATACGTATGGACCCCAACTGTAACTAACAAGATGGATGGACCCTAACTGAAACTAACTGGATATATCGACCTCAACTGTAACTAAATATAGTTGTATGGACCCCAACTGTAACTAACAAGATGGATGGACCCCAACTGTAATTAACTAGATGTTTGGACCCCAACTGTAACTAACTAGATGTATGAACCCCAACTGTAACTAACTACATGTATGGACCCCAACTGTAACTTACTAAATGGATGGACCCTAACTGTAACTAACTAGATACATGGACCCCAACTGTAACTAACTAGTTGTATGGACCCCAACTGTAACTAACAAGATGGATGGATCCCAACTGTAATTATCTAGATGTATGGACCCCAACTGTAACTAACTAGGTGTATGAACCCCAACTGTAACTAACTAGATCTATAGACCCCTAATGTAACTGACCCCAACTGTAACTAACTAGTTGTATGGACCCCAACTGTAACTAACTAGATGTATGGACTCCAACTGTAACTAACTAGATGTATGGACTCCAACTGCAACTAACTAGATGTATGGACCCCAACTGTAACTAACTAGTTGTATGGACCCCAACTGTAACCATAGAGAATAGAATATATAGAGAGGAATTAAAAGAATCTCTCGGTATGAATTTTTTCAGTCCCTTTAAGCCTGAAAGTGGGTGTTCAAAGTGTAAAAATCATGTAGATGTTTACAAATTATATGCAGCAGAGTACATTAATACAGTATGTTCCCTAGACTATCCATTTGAATTTCGAATTTTTAAACTGTTAAATAAACTTTATAATGAATTAGGTGAATAAAAAACATCATTTGATTTATAGTTATAATGGAAAATCTTCGTTTGTAAAGTGAAAGGCATAGGGTCTATATGAAATGATAATTGGTCAAATAATTTTAGATTTTCTATAAAATGATATTCCAGGGCCCAACAGGTTATATAGCATAAATATGTGAATTGAAGTACACCTGCAGTATGAAAACAGTACAACAAATGGCCGTTTTACACTTTTTTCCAGTAAATTCCTCTCTATATATTCTATTCTCTATGACTGTAACTGACAAGATGAACCCCAACTGTGTTTTATTTAACAGCAAATATTTACACTTGGGGGCGAAAATGTAAATTTTTTGCCCTTTTTTGCAGGTTTCGAGGAATAAATAAACTTATTTTTGATATTTTTGGATGGAAAAACATGCTTTAAATACAAAAATTATAATCTAGAGCGTCCTTTATAAACAAATTTCTACATTTTTCTTCATTTGAGTGAATTATTCAACCAAACCAAACATACCTTAGCTCAACCAACCCCCCCCCCTCTATCTTCTATGAGATAAACATATATTCAAATAGAAAGGAACTAAGTTCTTGTCATGAACTAAAATTTTCTAATCCCTAAATCTAATATGGCGTAAGCCTTTGATATTTCAAGCCTAGACTGTTAAGTATAAAAGAATCGTTTGAATTGTCAAAGGCATAGAGAAAAGAATATATATTAGAGAGAAATTTAAAGAATCTCTCGGTATGATTTTTTTCAGTCCCTTTCAGCCTGAAAGGGAGTTCAAAGTGTAAAATCATGTAAATGTTCACAAATTATATGCAGTAAAGTACATTAATACAGTATGTTCCCTAGACTATTCATTTCAATTTCGAAATTTTTAAAACTGTAAAATAAACTTTATAATGAATTAGGTGAATAAAAAACATCATTTGATTTATAGTTATAACGGAAAATCATCGTTTGTAAAGTGAAAGGCATAGAGTCTATTTGAAATGATCATTTGTCAATTAAGAAACCAGCCTATTTCATAATTTGGTTTTCTTTCAGCATTAATTTTAGATTATCTATAAAATGATATTCCAGAGCCCAAAAGGTTATATAGCATAAATATGTGCAGTACACCTGCAGTATGGAAACAGTACAACAAAATGGCCGTTTTACACATTTTTCTAGTAAATTCCAATCTAATATATATTCTATTCTCTTTGGTTAAAGGTCTGCGTCATCGGAGATCGGAGATTTTGTGCGGATATTGTAATTCTTGAACGCTAGATCTCGATATCCAATATGGATGCTTTTAAATTTGAGGATCAATGCTACATTACTCAACTAAAGTTATCCCTGGATGGAATGACCAGCACCGGATACCGGAAAGGAATTAAATTAATCTACCTAGTCCAGCTGCATAAAATGACCAGCACCGGATATCGGAAAGGAATTAAATTAATCTGCCTAGCTAGCTGCATAAAATGAAGATCAATGCTTGATCCTAAGATCCGCAAAACAAAAGGAAACATAGGTTTTAAAAGCATGAATTTGTGATAAGAATTTAATTCCTTTCTGTGTTAGTAGATACAAAAAAACTAAAATCCATTTCTCTTTTTAAAAAGATAATATTTGGATTTTAAAAAACTTGCTGTAACCCTTACTACAGTGCCCACAATTATCTGCTGTCCACAATATTCTGGAATCAAAATCCCCTCACCCCCCCCCCCCCCTCAGTACACTGAATAATATTATGAAATTACAAAGTCCCCCATTATTAACTTCCCGCTTAATTCTGACAGAAGTACGGAAGTATTGTATTGATTATCACAAAAAATGTTTTCATCATTTAAAATTATACTGAGCCTGACAACTTTCTACATTTGCAAGGAATTTGCAGAGTAATTGCCAGCTCAGAGACAGACGGACACATTTGCAGACAGATATATGTTTGCAATTTATTTAATAGACAGAACTCACAGATTTTTAAATAACGGTCCAATTAAAATACAACTTCAAAGGGACCGTCTGCTTAATTATTATTATTATTATTATTATTATTATTTTTATTATTATTATTATTATTATCAATATCACTATTAATATTATTATTAGGTTAAGCATAGTTAATGCAATCTCCTTCCTCGGAAACATCTTTGGCTCCAAAAGTGTTCTAGACAATATAATTTTCATTTTGGTTTCATGTTGATAATTAACTTCAAGAGAGGATAATGATAAGGAAGCTTAAATAAAACTTTAATCTTAAGGTCAGCCAGAGATAAGTATAACAGCTGCAGTTTTAAAATTAATTAGTTAAATAAATACATTTAATTTCAGTTAATTTGGGTCTTTGAAAATTGTTTTGATTATTTAAAGGGAGTGTTCGTGAAAAATGAAAGGGGGAATAGGCTTACGGCGAAAAAAAGTGCTTTTGATCGCCACTTATCTTACTTCTATCTGTTGCTCTATAAGAAGATAATTGTCAAAAACGGCTCATACCAAAGAACTTAACGTCCATACAAATTCGGAAAGTTACAACATTCAACTCTGATCGTAAAATAATCAATTTAATTCCAAACAAATCATTCAGATATTACAACCAATAATCATTGATAATTTTTCGACGCATTCCTATATAGTTGATATTTCAAAATATTTCTTTATTTTACTATGAAATATTAGCTATACGTTCAGTAAAAGATGCAATAAAAGAACTCCAGAAAACCCAACTCCGGAAAATACAAATTCAGGAAAAGAAAAGATCAGTAAAAAAACTAACTTTAAAAAGATTTAAGAAAAAAGTATTTATAGTTTTTCTATTATTAAAGGTTCGGTTAGGTCGTCTACGGATCCACAGTCTGCAGTAGCCGACTGCGGCACATTAGGGGCTGAGCGAGAATTTAGGGGGCTGAGCTTTGCAGGAAAACAAATTCTGGAGTTTGTCTTTCAGAAGTTTGTTCTTTTCAGAGTTTGTCTCGTCAGGAGATTGTCTTTCCAGAGTTCCTCTCGTCAAGAGATTGTCTTTTCAGAGTTTGCCTCGTCAGGAGATTGTCTTTTCAGAGTTTGTCTCGTCAGGAGATTGTTTTTCCAGAGTTTGGCATGGCACCCTTATATTAAACTGTAAACAAAACTAGCAACTGTGTGCCCTTTACTCAAAAATCTTAATGAATAAAACAAGTTCCTTACCAACTCTAAAAACAATCATTTTGATATCCATTTTAAGACCCTTTACACGTTCTTCAAAAAAACAATCGAGAATATTTTTAGAATTATTTTTTAGATTACAAACTTATTTTTGTCATGAATTTATTGAAATAGATTATTTATTATTCCTTGCTAACCATAATTCCAATAAGCAGGCTCTAAAGTTTTTGGATGAGGTTTATAAACATATTCTTTACTGCTAACTCTATAGGAGAACGTTTTCCCTTCCAGATCTTAAACATTATCATCATAATCATCATTATCATCATTATCATCATTATCATCATTATCATCATTATCATCATTATCATCATTATCATCATTATCATCATTATCATCATTATCATCATTATCATCATTATCATCATTATCATCATTATCATCATTATCATCATTATCATCGTTATAATCATTATCATCATTATCATCGTTATAATCATTATCATCATTATCAAAATTTTTTTTAGCCCGAACTGTCCCGTTTGACCGTCTGTCGACAGCATGTATATATAGGAATGTCTTGTTTTATTATGTAGATGACATACATTACCATTGTCTTCTGGGGATTCATATTCACGATATTCATAAGATAAGGTTTTTCCTTTCAGACCTTAAACAAATTTTAGAAATTTTCATAATTTTCATAATTTTCATCATTTTCATCATTTTCATCATTTTCATCATTTTCATCATTTTCATCATCATCGTCATTTCCATCATTTTCATCATTTTCATCATTTATATCATTTTCATCATTTTCATCATTTTCATCATTTTCATCATCGTCATTTTCATCATTTTCATCATTTTCATCGTTTTCATCATTTTCATCATTTTTATCATTTTCATCATCATCGTCATTTTCATCATTTTCATCATTTTCATCATTTTTTTATTTCATTATTCACCAGGGCCCGGGCCATGGAAAAAAAAATAAAAAAATGTTGAAAAAAAATATTCTAAATTTGTTTAGCCTTTGTTCCCCCAGGCTACCCAGGAGAGTCCACAACAAATTTCAGTCCATTCAGTCCAGCCGTTCGGCCGGCCGGCTGTAGTGAACATATATATATATATATGAATGTCTTGTTTTATTATATTGACTAGCTGAAGGACCCGGCGTTGCCAGTTGAAAAAAAATTATTCTTAATTATTTGAATTTTTTAGCCTATGTCACCCCCGGGCTACCCATGAGTGTCCACAAAAAATTCAGGAATGTCTTGTTTTATTATGTAGATGATATACATTACCATTGTCTTCTGGGGATTCATATTCACGATATTCATAAGATAAGGTTTTTCCTTCCAGACCTTAAACAAATTTTACAAATTTTCATAGTTTCATAATTTTCATAATTTTCATAATTTTCATGATTTTCATGATTTTCATAATTTTCATAATTTTCATAATTTTCATAATTTTCATAATTTTCATAATTTTTATCATTTTCATCATCATCGTCATTTTCATCATTTTCATCATTTTCATCGTTTTCATCATTTTGATCATTTTCTTCATTATCATAATTGGTATCCTTGTTGGTATCATTATATCATTATTATCATTATTATCATTATAATTTTATTCATACCTTGAGTAAACATAGTAAAATGTAGCTGAGAAAAATTAAACTTATTTCTTACTTTACATCTATGTATTTAAACTAACCTCTATTTGCTTCTTTGGCTGGGGCTGATTTACCTGAAATTAAATATGATAAAATGCATTAAACATATTTTTCTTTGTCGTGTCACAGAGCCGTCTTGAAATATGTTAAATAAAATTGAAGATGAAGACATTTTAAAGCATCGTTTGATAATAACTTCAAAGGGTGATCTTTTATCAAATGAAAAAAGCTACCTCCCATGATTATGTTTCTATTATTTTTTATCCCGAGCTACTTTAATCGGAATAGTAAAATCTGAGGAGATTGCTCTTTTTCAGAAGCAGAGGTTAACAATAGGCCGGACGGAGCCAAAAAAAGTTGAAAATTAAAAAGTTTGATTAAAAAAGTATATAAATTTAGTCACTGGAAAGTATACAGAAGGTGAAGGTCAAATTTATGTGACATTACCGGCACAACTTTATGTGATATTACTGGCACAACTTTATGTGACATTACCGGCACAACTTTATGTGATATTACTGGCACAACTTTATGTGATATTACTGGCACAACTTTATGTGATATTACTGGCACAACTTTATGTGATATTACTGGCACAACTTTATGTGATATTACCGGCACAACTTTATGTGATATTACTGGCACAACTTTATGTGATATTACCGGCACAACTTTATGTGATATTACTGGCACAACTTTATGTGATATTACTGGCACAACTTTATGTGATATTACTTGCACAACTTTATGACAGTGTAGCTTTTCTAGTTTTGCTTTTACACAAAAGTATCCGGTTACTTATATTTCTCTTCAATATGATAAGTTATAATTGATAAAATTCAAGATTTCTCAATCTTATTAAGCTTATGTTTAATTTAGCTTAGTTTAACGTGAGATATGTGCTCTCACAACCTTATCTGACTTCAAATTATTGTCAAATAGGGTTTCTTTCATAATCAAAGATCTTACCTATGTCTTCAGCCGACTCAGAACTCTCATCATCAAGATGAAAATGAACATTTATTTCATCAAGAGGTTTGGGCAAAGGATCACTTTTGCATACCTTAAAAAAATAGAAGCAGGCTTTTATGTGGGGCTCAATATTGCAACTCCTAATTTTTTTACTTCATCTAATTGTTCGTACACAATCTTAATGGTTCATTTAAAAGCAACGAGAAATATATCATCAATAATTTTAACTTTTTAATCTTGATTTTCAAAAACCTGCGAAAGGAAGAATACTATTAACAATAAAATTCTAAATGCAACCATGTTGTCTCTTGACTTAGAACTGAATTATGATATTACTATTCTGCAAACAATGCTAGTTCATTTTAATTATGTAAACAATATTCTGTAAATAATATTTTGTAAACAATAATGTAAACAAAATTTTGAAAACAATTTTCAAGAAAAAAATAATTAATAGAAAGGAATACTCCATGGAATTCTTAAGAATTTTAAGAAGAATATTTTGATATTTTTAAAATTAAACTTTAGATGTTGTTTCATTGGTTTTGTTCCTGTGCCCCGAACATAAGTAGAAACATATCAATTTAATCAATAACAAATTACACGACATTCATAATCTAAAGAATGACAGAAGACGACAATCCGTCCTCTGGATTCTAGTTACCATTGTATGAGTGTTGTTATAAGTACAGCTGTAAATAACAGATTTTAATCAATTAAATTACTGAAAATATATCACTCTGTTGACATTTGAATTTCTGTTTGAAAATATTCCAAAAATGAATAAATATTATAAAGAAGTCAGGAGGGAGGGGGAGAAGCCAGGTTTATTGCCTTAATATTTCACTAAAACTATTTCTAGATGAGAATGTTTAAAAAAGCTTGACGTGCCTTGAAATTAAGGGTTTAAGGCCTTCTACTTTTAACAGTGCAGACTACAACCTAATTTATGTCCAGGCCTTGCTTGCAGTCAAGAAATCTATCTAGTTTTTGACCAAATATATGTACAGAGAAGGAATCTATCTATCTAGTTTTCTAACATTAGAGTCATGATATCTGTCTAGGTTTAGAACATTACAGTCATGATATCTGTCTAGGTTTAGAACATTACAGTCATGGTATCTATCTAGTTTAGAAGATTACAGTCATGATATCTATCCAGGTTTAGCACATTACAGTCATGGTATCTATCTAGGTTTAGAACATTACAGTCATGATATTTATCTAGGTTTAGAACATTACAGTAATGATATCTATCTAGGTTTAGAACATTACAGTCATGGTATCTATCTAGATTTAGAACATTACAGTCTTGATATCTATCTAGGTTTAGAACATTACAGTCATGATATCTATCTAGGTTTAGAACATTACAGTCATGGTATCTATCTAGGGTTAGAACATTACAGTCATGGTATCTATCTAGGTTTAGAACATTACAGTCATGATATCTATCTAGGTTTATAACATTACAGTCACGGTATCTTTCTAGGTTTAGAACATTACAGTCGTGGTATCTATCTAGATTTAGAACATTACAGTCATGATATCTATCTAGATTTAGAACATTACAGTCATGATATCTATCTAGGTTTAGAACATTACAGTCATGATATCTATCTAGGTTTAGAACATTACAGTCATGATATCTATCTAGGTTTAGAACATTGCAGTCATGACATCTATCTAGGTTTAGAACATTACAGTCTTGATATCTATCTAGGTTTAGAACATTACAGTCATGGTATCTATCTAGGTTTAGAACATTACAGCATGATATCTATCTAGGTTAGAACATTACAGTCATGATATTTATCTAGGTTTAGAACATTACAGTAATGATATCTATCTAGGTTTAGAACATTACAGTCATGGTATCTATCTAGGTTTAGAACATTACAGCATGATATCTATCTAGGGTTAGAACATAACAGTCATGATATCTATCTAGGTTTAGAACATTACAGTCATGATATCTATCTAGGTTTAGAACATTACAGTCATGGTATATATCTAGGTTTAGAACATTACAGTCATGATATTTATCTAGGTTCAGAACATTACAGCATGATATCTATCTAGGGTTAGAACATAACAGTCATGATATCTATCTAGGTTTAGAACATTACAGCATGATATCTATCTAGGTTTAGAACATTACAGTCTAAACATTACTATTCAGAAATTTATCACTAAACATGACATTTAAATGATAACAAATCATGATTTTGAAATTGAATATGCAAAGCTAGTTTTTAAAAACAGATAGAATACCGTTCGAAAGCATATTTAATATAAAAATTTTACTTTGTTGTTTTCTTTATTGTCTGTTTAGTGGTAAACATTTTAGTTTTTGCGGAAAGCTGAGAATGATAGAATTCAAATTTAAAATAAGCCATTTATCATATCTATCGCTTAAAACATGTGAATAATTTAGAAATCTTTAAATTCAAGGGAAAATTTTGCAATTTTATTGAGCTTAAGATCAATTAGAAATTGACCCGAAATATGATTTTATCCGCGCAACTAAGGTTAAACAAAGTTTAAATAAAATGGTAAATTAACGAAAAATAAAAATGTTCTCTCACTGGCTGAATTATATGTTGAGTAATTTAAAGAAAATATTGAGCCCTGAAATTTATAAAAAATAGGCGCCAGCCCTCTGCCGCGCACAGTTAAATACTGCCGAGGTCTGCACGCTACATAACAACCTCACAACACAAATATTATATTTTCAGAAAACTTTTTAGAAAAAACTTTCTTCCTCTTCCCTGGGTGCAAAAATAGGGTAAAACTGGGTTTGGGTTCAACCGCTTGAGGGAGAAACCGCCGAAACTAGAATAATTCTAAATTTAGTTTTTCATTAAAATATTAATAAAACAATGAAAATTGTGAGAATACAAAAAAGATTATTGATTTGTTAATACTAAACCCCTCTTTAAAGGGACTGTAAGCGTAATTTCAAGTGACCCTCAATGCAAAGAGGACAATTCCCGATTTACAACGGTAGCCTTGACACCTGTATTGATCAATAATGAGGGAAATACTGTGTCGGTTTTTTAGTTTAAAAAGTTTTTAATTTCATAACTTCTGTATGTTTCCCTGTACTAAAAATGCGGAAGTCACTTTTGTAGAGAAACCACCATTGGAAATAATCAGTTTTTTAAATTATAAACATTGATTTCTAAATTATAAACATTGATTTCTAAATTATAAACTTAATCAGAGAAAGCTTTAAAGGGTACCGTTTTCTCTTTTCAGTGGAGTTGTTAATATACAAAATATTGGAAAATGAATTCAAACCAACAAAGGATTTTTTTACACAAATTCAAAGTTTTTAATCCTTATATTTTGTAACCTTATATATGGTATAAACCTTTCACTGCAACTAACCAGGAGGAGAAGGTAAAATTCAATTTATTTTACTGCTGCAACAATGTGACTCATTTACTCCTCTATTTCTGATTTTACGATCAAGTGTAAGAAAAGCTTTCATATCATAAATTCTAAACATTTGTATTTTTCTCAAGACCTCATTTAAAAAGAGGAGTTATGATAAAAAACGTAAAATATTTCAATTTCACGTTCATTTTACTTTTATTTGACGTGCTTTGATATTTCAAGTTTTACTATTTGATCTAACAGAATTAAAAGGTTGAAATATCAAAGGTCTATAAAATCGTGTTGCAAAGATATATGGATAATAAAACCAATGTTTATGGAAAAAAATTTCTTTCAATAGATTTTTTTTTGAATTATAAAGCATTACGGTTGAGTTTTAAATCCTATTATTTGAGAATAAATTCCCAAGATTTAGACTTGAAAAGAAGTGACTCTATTCCTTACATGTTCATGATTTTTGGGAATTAACTCTATTCTGCAGACCTGAAAAATCAATCGTTTTATGGATTCTTAAAATCAAGTTGACTGGTAAATTCAGTTTATTTGGAATATATTCTCACCTGTAGACTTCCAGATTTACGTTTCTATCAATTCTCTAAAACAACTTATTTCCCATCTGTATAGACTTGAAAATAAGCATGTCAATCTATTTTCAGTTTAAGAATATTGATTTCTATCATGTTTTATGGGATCATGAATTATATTATACAGGCTTGAAGAAAGCTTGAATATTTGTGATAAACTCAAATATTTTGATCCCTGTTTCTATGCGACATGTTGATTAAAATTTTCGATATTTTAAACTTAGACAGATTTAACAGAATCCATAAAATATCAAACTTTGGTTACTGGGAAGATTAAGGGATTTGAAAATCAGAGTTTGTGGCAAAAACTCAATTCCTTTTGAAGGGTCGCTTAAAAATTGATATTTTACTTTGATATTAGAGGTAAAAAAGGCAAGTTCATAAATGAACAAATTTAAGGTTCTAGGAAAGGGGTTTAGGAGATCCAGGGAGGATTTATAATAAATCTACAATTATAGAATTAAAATATCAAATTTTAACCTAATCTTATTATTGTTTATTTACATATTTGATGCTAATTACAGACTCTGTTTTCTAATAATTAAAGTTTTAATTTGATTAAAATTTGAAAATAAATAAAAGGCTTGTTTTTATAAAAAGTAAAAAGTATTATTTAACTATATTTGCAGTTCTAAATCACGAAAACTTTCTACAAAATTATCATCAGAATTAATTAATCTAGTAAAATTATCATTGTTTAAAAATGTTTTAAATGTTTAAGAATAACATTCTGCTTAAAATTTCGAACAAGATTTTCGCGATTTTGATCAGAGGCGAGCTCAGGACTCAGCAGGAAGGTAATGATCAGCTAAATTAATGGTTTACAAGGAGTTTTCAAACCCCAACGAGTTCACAGCCCTCCCCCCCCCCGCAGGAAAGAAAATTCCTGAGTACGCCCGGATTTCGAAATTATTATTTGATATTCCAAATAAAGTATTGATGTTTTTATTATGAAGAGATCTCCTCATTCTTTGAAAAATATTTGTGAATTCTTTTTTTGAAATCTAGATATTTATTATCTTCGTATCGAGATTATATAAATTGTACAAAATTGTTTAAATGGATTAAATATAAGTTTACATGGATTAAATATAAGTTTACATGGATTAAATAATGGATTAAATATAAGTTTACATGGATTAAATATAAGTTTACATGGATTAAATAAAAATATTTGTGAATTCTGATAAGTCAAGGTTAATCATTGATACTGATGCTGATGATGCATTAACGGAGGACGCACATTGAGGGAGCACATTGTGGACGCACACAAGATACATAAAATCAATAATTACAGACGTGTATTGTAGTGCGTAGAATTTCATTTACTTCATCTGTTTCTAAAAAACTAAACGT